TCATCCTCTGTCAACTGTCAAGCAGAGTGGTACAGGGAGGAACAAATTTTACTCGAATCCGAGAGTTAGCTGAGAACAGAATGACAATTTTCGTATCTCATAAATGGCTATATCGTTTTCGAAAAGTTTGCGGTTCTCTTTTCCGCCGAAAGACACTAGCATTGGAACGAAAAATGCTTCACTGCTATAAATTCACTGTACTTCCTAGAAAATAAGCCTTTGACATGTAGGTGGAGGGTTTTCTTTACTTAAATACCTCAATTTCCGTCCAAGGGCTTGTTTCCCAGGAAAAAAGATGGCTGATTTCTGAAGTTAGAATCGACTTTCAATTTAATTTTATTATTAAAACAAAATTTTTAGATCAAAATAAATTAACACTGAAATCGTGGTTTCGTTGCATAAAAGAAGTGCCGGAAACTTGGCTATGGTGCGTTTCTGTTAAAACTGCGATTTATTTAAAAAATTAAGAAATACCTGACTCGGGCTTCCGTGGGCTCCGCGCAATATAAGTCATCAGTACTTCTGTGCCGCCTTGTCAGTATTTTTAAGTTTAGAGTCTGGTAATTACGTATTTTCTTGCTGAATATTTTGAAGGTTGGCTAACTTGGTAGCAATTATTATTTTTACAAATAATAATTGTTACCAAACAGTACAGTGTAGCGCCAATAATGGACGAGCGCTATGTCCCGACACTTAAGATCTTCGCTCTGGTTTTATAAGTTACGGAATTAGTTTTACTGGCGCACATACGCATTCGGCAAAATGACGCAATAAAAAGAACCGCATATCATCATTTAGATGAGTATTTAAACAAATCTATGTGGCGCTGACTTTGCAAGGAAGATGGTTATTTTGTTGTTCTGTTAAATACTATTAGGGATTTGGGTCGGTTGGAATCACTAACAGAAGTTTTAATTAATTTGTATGTGAGATTGTCTCAAAGCTAATATTTGAAGCTCATGTTTTATATGCTATATTCCTAACTTGTATCTGTTTATTAATAAAATGCAACTAATAAAGAACGATTTGTAATTTGAAATTTCCGCTAGAATGTTTGGCGCAAATATGGCGGGATCTTTGTCAACATTCATGGTCGACGGGATAATACGTAAGTTCCTAAAGTTTTTATTGTTATATGCAATTTCTGAGTAAAATAGAAAATCTGCCATTACCTTGGCTGTATGGATCGATTCTCAGTTTAATGTCTCCGATAAATTAGTTAGTATCGTTATTAGAAATCTGTTGCAGATTGCTTAAGTGGATGAAACTGAATACCTGTAACAAACTGATTTAGTTTCTATAAATGCATTATTTATAGCTCTTTTTGAAAGATAAAGTAATTATGGCTTAAGAATTAATGTATCTAAATGCAGTTTTAGTTTAACATCTTTGGAGATTTTAGGTTTTCACATATCTTAACAGGGTTTAAAATCTTAACCCGACAAAGCCATTCAGAATTTCCCTAAACCAGTTAACTCAGTTCTTTAAGTCATTTAAGTAAATTTCTCGGCATTTAAAATTTTTACAGAAGTTTTGTCCTAAGAGCTTCGCATGTTTTAGCTCTCTTGAATAGGCTATTGAAAGGCCGCATTAATAAAAAGAAACCTTCACAACCAAGCAAAATAAAGCAATGGGACGACAAGGCTGAGAAAGCATTCGCCAGTGCAAAAAAGGCAATTGCTGAGGCAACTCTTCTCAGAAACCCAGTTCCTGGTGCTATCTTGAAACTTTGTACTAATGCATCGGACGTAGCGGTTTACCTACCGCAATTATGCAATTGCATTAATGCAATTGCATAATTCAGTTTGGGAACCCATTGCGTTTCTTTCCGTTAAACTCAGCAAAAGTCAAAGGAAATGTTCAACTTCTGATCGAGAACTTTTGGCTATATTAGCAATTAGGAAATTTCGGCACATGCTTGAAGGCAGGGCCTTTACAATCTACACAGATCAAAAGCCCTAAATATATGCTTAATATAAGCAAAAGCTGTACAACTTCGTCATCTTGGTTTTATTGGCCAATTTTCCACTGACATACGATACATCAAAGGTCATAACAATATCGTTGTTGAAGCCTTACCCAGAGTAGAAATAGATGCAGTATCTGATAATCAGCAAATTGATTATAACAAGTTATCCGAAGCACAACTTCAGGACTCCGAAATTCAAAATTCTCTATCTCAATCTTCACCATTTTATAAACTAGAAAAATATTATTTTCCTTTAGAAGATGTTATTCTTTACTGCTCACGCAGCACTAGCGCGTTCAGTTCTTGGAAGGCTGACCACCTACGTCACTGACGCCAGCCAATCATTATATCCCATCCTGTTTCTCCCGGATTCGTCGGCTCCTATCTTGGTTACTTCATCAATTAAGTTCTATCTATTATACTTACATCATAGTGCTTCCCTTCGCATAATATTTCTCAGGTCAGGACCTGAAATTTTACTGCACACAATCATTTCACATACCAGTATCTTTACTGCATTATGGGCATAGATATACCTCGTCCGTTCATTCCTGAATCTTTCGCTCTAACATTTTTCAGCACATTCACTGTCTTTCTCATGCTGGTACTTCAGTCTCAACAAAAATCACTAAGTGATATCTTTGGACTAATATGATGAAATTTATTAAAACTGCTGTTCAATTTGGCCTACAGTGCCAACGTTCTAAAATTCATAGACATTCAAAAATCACCCATTGGGTACCTTTTCCTTGCCTGATGCAAGATTTGCACATATTCATAGGTCCTCATCCACCGTCTGAAGGTAACTGTTATTGCAAGACAATTATTGAACGCTTTTCCAAATTGCCAGAAGTTATAGCTACTGCCGACATGTCAGCTCAGGCTGCTTGCAAAGTGTTCTTGCATAACTGAATAACTAGATTTGGGCTGTCCGTATCAATAACAACTGATGAAGGACGAAATTTTGAATCTCACTTATTTAAGGATTCAATGAAGGTTTTGGGTAGACGTCGCATTAGAACTACTGCTTAGCATCTTCAGACCAACGGGCTGATTGAGAGATTTCATAGGCATCTTAAAAGTGCAATAGTGCAATAAGGGTGCACGCACCTTTATGAAAAATGCCGGATTGGCAAAAGGGTGCTGACGATCATTTTCAAGCAAGAAAATAATCTTCGATTTGTGCATACTCCCGTATGCCGCGACAGCACTGTGAAGATTTTTTTTTTTTTTTTTTTTTTTTCTTTTCGAACAGTGGTCAACCTGCATAAAGGTGCAACACCTCTCTGAAGTATGGGTACCGCTATGAAGGCGTCCTTTGGGATCGATGCGTATCGGATGTTTAACTGAAATTTCAATGCTTACAAGATTAAAAGTTTTAAAGAATAGGCATATTATTTCATAGGAAAATTCAACCTGTACTATTTATAATAATTATGTATGAAGGGGGTTTGTCTAAAATTTGGAGCGCCGTTCCAAAGCGGGTATTGCGAGGCCCTTGCATCAGCTATGGTGGTATGTGACGGGGGATAAAAATATTCATGGGGGATTATATACCAATTATTCCTATTTTTCAAGTTTTTCGAAATGTAAATGGAGAAAACTTGAAAGAGTTATTATATAAAGCCGAGACCTATAAAGTCTAGGATTTCATAAGCCTGAGTTATTCCGCATGCAGATTCGTAAGAACAGCCAGTAGAAGATAGTGAAGATAAATGTGTAGTTAAGCCATTAAATTAATATTAGCTAGATTTTTAATGACATCATAGATTGAAGTGGTATCAATATTTTCTTAGGAGATATTGGCAGTATTCACTGTAAACTTATATAACTGAGATTTTCCAGAAGAAAAACTAAAAATATGGGTAATTATTGTCATTTTTTAATAATTGAACTAATTTTATTATTATTTTTATTTAAATTCTGCTTACAGTAAGCTAGATAGCGTTTCCTTAAAAGTCTCTTCAGAATCTACTTTTTTTTTAAAGTTATGGGGCATTTCTCAGCTTATTTGTATTTTCCGTTTAGCAATATATTGATAATCATGGAAAGTTGGAACTTTACTCTATTCCCAACATTTCACAGGAACTGTACACACTCCTATAATCTGCAACAGAGTTACTTAAACCCTTTGATTACACGAAGTTTTTCACTTCTCCGTTTGAGAGAAGATGTAATTTTCGTAAATTTTAAGATATCTATAATTATTTATCATTCAAAATAGGCATCTTTAAAAAAAACTATGCATTTATAAAAAAAAAGTATTCCGCATTGATTAATGAAAAGACTTGATATTTTCTAACAAAAAAACCACAATAATTACATAATATTTTCTATTTACATAGAGAAATCTAGTTAAATTATAATAAATAAAAATTTAAAAAGATGTTTCTCTATTCCCGATAATTCCCAAATGCGTAGCAACCTATAACTCTAAAGAACCTAGACGACAGGTTACTTTTGCGGAAACAATCGAGAACAACTCGAACAAAGGAATTTCCCAATTCCTTCGGGAAGTTCCAGATATCGAGTTGTTCTCGATATTTGAAATTCATGGTTACATTTTCATGCATTTTTGTCACTGCAGAGATTTTTTGTTTAAAATTTTCGTTGTATGATGTCATATTTCTTTGCTTCATGAATAAATCAAACAAAACAATCTAATGGAATGTGATTCCCACAGACGATGGAACATGATAACAAATTGTTCAATTTCTTTTCTTTCCCCATTGGAAGATGAAGTTCCTTACTTCATATCTTTTTTATGATGATTTCAATATTTGACTTCTCTACTTTTCGTTCGGATCGATAAAGAATCATGATTCCAAGAAATGCGGGAAAAAAATATATGTAAATTTAATTTAGGGCATCGTGTTTTTAGCTGAAACAGTACAGACTACCTATGGAGGCTGTAAAATGTTTTGCAAATGCGAGTTTAATTATTAAGCATTTGTATTGTGTTTCATTGCATGCATAATACGCAATAAAATCTCTTGTGAATCTCGTGTCAAAAAAAGGGAAAAAACAATTGTTTAAATGAGCACTGATATTTAATTGTATTATAATATGAATATGAGAAACGGAAGAAATTTATTTTCATTCTATTAGCAAAATCGTATTGATATTTACTACAAAAATGAGTAAAATGAATACAATCCCCCGCACGTGACGTCCCAAATAATTACAAAATAGACGGTAGAAATAATATTCCAGCAACCGTAGGTCTTGGATTTGACACCTGAAAATCAGAAAATAAAAGATACTTTAGGATACATATATAAAACATCAATTCCCTTTTCAATAATTTTACCAAACATAAATTTTTATAAAAAAACTTGCTGTATAAAATTGAAATTTTGATGGGTTTGAGCGAAGTCATACTGTCACCTGTGTTGTACTCAAGGCTGTAGCCAACGACTGGTGCAATCTTGCCACGAAGCATTTCGAGGGGCTTGTTCTGTTGTTACTGTTATATACGACACAGAAAGAAATTAAGAAAAAAAGCTGACGAATGAATAACAATGCTGCGATGGAAGATCTGGGAATAATCAGGCATTTATCCCATTGTGACTCGAATGTGAGTATGTCTGAGTGAAAATGGTATAATTGTCTTTCAGGCTTTTGTCGGATTATATTCTACACTGCATGACATGGAGTATCATCATTCTCTAACCTTATACCTTCAACAATTTACACATTTGAAAATCAAGAAAAGCGAGATTATAAATGTAAGAAAATGTTCTAGTAGATTCCATTGAAAAGATGGTAAAGACTGTATCTAACAAATTATGCATGGATGTAACCTATTATGGTAGCAATAATTTAAGTATGGATTATATGGTAATAAGCTTTAGGGAGTAATACAAATTAATTCAAAATAAATAATATAGAAAAGAAAGTTATTTATACCTGCTGTAATGAATTTATTTATCAAATGCAAATGTAATATGAAAGATTAATTTACCAAATTTTTACCGCATTTACGCCATACATTTACGACTGCTTTCCCCCATTCCTTTTTTCTCGGTCTTAATTTAGCTGCGTCATCTTCATGGTAAAATCAATAATGAGAATTTTTTGTGGTGCCCAATTTCCTTCAGTTTCTGAGAACCTTTATGTGGTGTTTCCCTAAGCACTTGCTTACTTGGCTTAGTAGTTAATCTAGCTCTGGTGCTTTTTTCACAGGACTCATTATATGTGTGCCAGTATAGTTAAATTAATTGAGTCGATCGGATCGCCTGTCCTTTGCTTAAGAAGTGGCAGTAGTAACAACTAGTCCTTCACATATCCCCAAATGAAAAAAAAATCACAAAGCGTTGCATTTTGTGTCTGGGGTACAAAAACATAGGCACATCATTCGAATCATTATAGCCAATCAAGAGTTCCAGGAGATACTGGTTGAAGTTAATCATGTAAATTTCTATGCTAGTGCAATGAAGTTGAGCTTTTTTTATTTCAGCTGGAGCAACAACTGTTAGACAGCATATCGAGACAGCTGAATCCTGTAATGGCAAATTTCATGGAGAAGAAAGGTTCAGATGTTGCTAAAAGGTAGCTGGTTACATTGCAGAAAATGTTTAACTTCGAAGAACCACGTTCATGTTCAAATGAGGCATGATTAAAAATATCAGATTATCACTTTGCCACATAACTGGAAATGTATCTCCTTTAGTCAATACGAATCTGTCCGTGAGAGCATCCTCTTCTAACTGTATTTATAAATCCATACGGAACTACTCGTTTTATATTTATCTGCAGTTTTCCCCGCCTGTATCGTGTAAAATGGTAATGTTTATAATGGTTGAACTGCAGACTTTTGAATAACCGCGCAATCTGTTGTTTACAGCACATAAAGTTGTCTGCTGGCATGACTTGCTGGGGTTTCATTTGTAAGTCTCATAAATGTTTTTCACTATTTCATTGCTGACGGATGATTGTTTTGCAGTTTATACTGAAATGATCAATGCATCTGTTGAAGAAATTTTGACCGCATTGTGATGTAACGACAGTATGCTTCTTTAGCAAATTTATTCAGAAATGTATCTCAACAACGTTTATCAATGAATGAACGTCAATGTCTGTGTTGAGTGTTTTAAAAACGGTAAAAACGGCGAAATTTTCAATGCTGCCACATGGAAATCGGAAAGTCACTCTTTATTATTATATTGTAGTAATGAAATAAATTCATCACAGCAATCACAGGTATGTTTCCTATATATACCATTCATTTTCCTATATATACCATTTACTTTATAGAAATATATTTGATACACCAGCGGTCGTCAACCCTTAGAATTTCACGGACCACTGCATATACAATTTTATGTTTGGCGGACCACTAATATGAATTACAAAACAAAGGTAAATATATTTATGCAATAATAATCAGCAAACTACGCATATTTCGTTTACATTGAAAAATTACATGAAAAGTACAAAAATCTTACCTTTTTGTACAGAAAGCTACACATTTCCATATCATTGAAAAGGAACTTCACGAAAAGCAAGAATAAATTGGCAAACGCAAAGCAATATCAATAAACTGATAGTGCTATGCCGCCAGTGTTTAATTATTGTAAACATAATAACTTACTCAGCAATATCGCCATCGATTAACAGTTAGACAAAACAAAAACAGAAACTTCCAGTGATGCAATTATAAACAAGAATGCGAATGAATCATCTGCATTCTTGTTTATGATTCCATAAAAATCCATCAAGTTGCCTATTGACACGGAGAAAATGTTAACGACTACAGTACTGTCAATAATGTACGGTATAATAATGTACGACTGTGTTATTAGATTACAATAGCATATGTATGTAATTCAAAAGGAAAGAGAATTCCAGTTCGCGCTAATATTGATAACAGCAGCATACCCATGGATGCCAACTCTCACTTTCAGATGTCGCTAGATACACTTGCAAAAGTAGCTAAAAATTCGCTAAATTCAGAAGGAATTTCGCTAAAAGTAGTAGCTAAAATTAAAGTATAATCCATATTCCATAATAGGTTTAGTTACTCGTCATTGTTTAAACTGAATCTTCATAAAAATATAAATAATGTCCCAATTTTTCTGCGGACCACCAAAAAGGTTATCCCGGACCACCGGTTGGTTACTGCTGCACTTCATTCTCCCTATAAAATATTAATTATTAAATAATAATTTCGTGTTTAAATAGAAAGTTTGAATAATTACAAATCCTTTTTAAATACAAAAAACTAGGCCTTCAAATCTCTGACCTGTATATAAATCGCTTCAATAAGGCAGTATAATAGAATTGTTGTATTTTTTAATTTGGGGGATTTGATTCAAATCAAAGAATCATTTTTTATTTAAAAATTATATTGCTAGAAACAATGATAACAATAAAGGCTATGTTTCTTTTTTGTAATATTGGAGCTGCTTTAGGATGATCAATTCCATTAATTTATCCATTAGTTGAGTGAAACAGATTTTTGAAATGAACAAAATGGTTTCTCTTAATAGACTATCAATCTATTAAGAGATTGATATGTATGCAACGAAGCGCTTCGACGGTTCTGATAATATTTACCTTGTCTGGTCCAGGTATTAACAATGTCGGAAAACGAACAGGACTGCGCTTGCGATTTTCTGACGAATTGCTACACTTCGAAGGCATCTCTGGCGTTCCAGGCAGAAGTGGAAGAGACAATGTGTCTTCTTTGACCGTATCTTCGCTCACTGTCTGTGAAGAAAGAAGTCATAGAAAATTAGTTGAATCGCAAATCATCTCTCCTATCTCCTCCATTAATGTATTTGCACGTTTTTATGCTTAGGAACTTATAATATTCAGATATTTCGTTTCATTAATTTTCTAAAAGTCGATATGCTAATGAATCTAAATTAAAGATATATGGATTCTTCCTTTCCTTTCCCTTCTTGATTTCCCCACCCGAAAATAATAATAAGATTACAAAGATCATTTATGCAAGAAACAGCGCATAAAACAATTTTAAAAGTACTATAATTACTACATCAAATTTTTATTTCATTTTTCTACGTAAATATGTTCCTATTATGATTATATGGCTAGTTTCATTATTAAAAATTTTGTATGAGAGAAAGTGAAAATTATTTTCTCAGCGAGTTATGTTAAGCCCGCATTGAGTAAAAAACATCTTAATCTAACACACAGAAATTCTTTAAAATTAAGAATTCAAATCATGCATGGGTAAGAAAATCCCTTACTAGTCTTACAATAAAACATTCGTGTAATCTTACTTAGTAAAGCGTACGTTCTGAAGAAGAAGAAGAGGTAGTTCTACATTTCCCATTCTACTGGGCTGATTAACGAAACTGATGAAATTTAATTTGCGTTTTCATTTCTCGACTAAAGTCCCAATCACATTATGTTTCGGCTACGCGAGACTTGACTTCCGCACAATTCCAGGAAATCCACGTAGCTAGGTTACCATTTTCACTTACTACAAAGACTTGAACGCCAAACACTAAGCGATTATCGCTCAGATTGGGATCACGTGAGGCTTCAGAAGCGGAACTTTCGTCTGATTGGTTGTCTCTACCAGGGACGGAAGTCCAGCAGAGACATTTTCGGTGAGGTTTGATAAAATCCCGCGTAGCCGCAACATTGTTTCCAAAGCTAGGCGGGACTCTTTATTCTAGGAATCCTCTCGTTTAAACTAGTGCTACCAGAATCTCGTTTCTCTGAGTCCCTTCTAGCAGGGACTGTAGCCATGTGTGATAACCTCTTTAGAATATATATTAGATTTATACAGCATTGTTCTAACCTAGGTATTTTAACACAAAATCGGAATTTTTCTGAAATGACATACCGATTTTTTTCCATGTTTCGATTATACGACCCAAATTATGCCTAAATATTAAATCTTGTAAAATTTGGTGAGAAACCCGCTCAGAAATTAAAAAATTTATGTTGGCGCACTTTTTCAGTTTGCGCCAAGAATTCACTTGGCGAAATTTTAATTTATGGTAACATATTTTCCTTTCCCTTTCATTGTGCACGACTGGAAGAAAGGTGCGTCGTTCATTCTTCTGAATAATTTCCACAAAGTGTGTAAACTACATTTCGCGTTATTATCTCTTATAGCAAATATGACAAATTTCAAAATACGCCAATACATAAATTCACATATATCTTCCGAAATTTTGAATAAAGAAAGTCCAATTTTTTGCAGGTATACCAAGAAATACATCTACTTTAAAGTTATGTAAAAATGTTATAGGTTAGACAAAAAGTGTTTCGAAAAATCTATAAAAATTACTAAAACATTTTAAAAATAAATCAGAAAATATCTGCAAATTTTATTTGGACAGAGCCTAAATTTTGAAAGTAATTTTTGAAAAAACTACCCTTGCAATTTTGAAAAAACTTAAAAGTTTGGCATAATTTGACTTGTAGAATTGAAGGAAAAGTCCGGTTTTGTGTCAAAATGCCTATGTTTGAACAATGCTATGTATGAATCTGGTATATATCGTATGTCGTGCTTTCGAGACATAAAAAACACAAATTTCGTCAATCGACGAAGTAGATCTTGAGATACAGAACTGCTCCCTTCTTTTTTGTGCAGTGTGTACAGCAGCTTTTCTAATGCGACACCACCAGAGTTTATCAGGTTTACGGGTACTGGTCTTTGGGTGAACACTGGCAAGGAGTTTGGTGGAAATGAGCGCTGCCCTTGGCATTAGTGGAGCATAATAACTGCACAATATTTGCTGGATCTTTGTAAATTACTCCAAAGATTCCCTGTACATCAGGTTCCACAAACAGGGTTCATCTTCTAAGCAATGTGCTGCTAAGTATTCAAAATCTCGATAATGCGAAGAAGTTATGAATGGAAATGGAATGCAGCAGATTCGCATATCAGTCACAGAATTTAGAAGCTGGTGTATGATGCAACTTGCATTGAGCTTTTGGCTGCGGTACCTCCAGGTACGAATTTGTCCTTTATAATATTACACTTACGCCCAGACCCAGAGATGAAATTTGTCTGAAATTACGATGCGGCAAGGAATTGTTCAGTGCTCCTATTACTGTTACAATTTCAGACCCTTGTACTAAACAGTTAAAGACAGTTAGCCAACGCAAGAGCTGCTTGAAAAGCTATTGCTTTAATGACGTAGATATTATTTCATCATAGGTGTGGACACTGGTTGTTAAGGTAATGAGGAGCAATTATTATCCTCTTGGATATAATATGGCTGTACAATTTGCAACTAACCCAACGCCGTTCAATGAGTCAGTCGTTTCTTTGGTCAAAGAAATAGTCTTACCATTATGCTTCAGTTCCATGCAACATGAGCGCTATGTCTAATTAGGAATATTCATATGTTTCGTAGTCTCACAATTCTTCCTCGATTAGACTTTGTGATTAATCGATTCGCTGCCGTGTTCTTCGAAAGCGCGTATTAGGTTCTTTCTCAAGTTAAGGCCTATGCATAAACATAACTCTAATATCTTTCCAATGCGGAATCTAAGTGCCTTAGTATTACCCTGTTTTATATTACTTTCAGGTCACGTTGTTATCAAATATAATTTGCATATGTGAGTTACGTTAATTAGTTACTCTTCTGTCATTTCATGTTCATATAATATAATATCTGAGACATAGCTTATATTCTTCCAGGTGTTACATTTTTAATGGCTTATGTTTTACGTCATATTACTTTATATTGTATTTTGTGCCACATTATGTAACATATTTTAGAAATCTGATGTTATTAATCGTTTGGAATTACATTGAAAGGTTATTGAAGCTTTGCAAAATATCGGCTCATAAATTATTAATCGTCTACCGCATTTGAAATATTCGAATTCAAAACTGCACAAAGATTTCTAGGAATAATCCTATTATTGTCTTCTATTATATGTGCTTGAGATGGAAATATTGTTATTATTAAGTGAGAAAGTTCTGTTAAGTTTATTTTTAATTAGTCTTGGTTGGTTATCAATTATAGAAAACAAATCTTTAAGGAGAAAGACTTTCGCAGAGGCCCTTTAAGCGGAAACTGATTTGCATTTATACGTCCCATATGTGGAAAATTACGAAATTTCTGTTCAGTAGTAGTTTTAACAGTAGCACAAGATCGAACCCAAGACAACAGTAATACTACATTTGCTTTGTAACCTTAGCCATTCCGTTGCTAAGAATTCAATGTATAGAAATATCGTGATTTTTTTTTATATGTTTGCTTTACCACTATTATTAAAAATGTTAAATGTTTTATTTACAAAGGCTTATACCTTTAATGCTGAAAGTGCTTTAAAACACTCTTTACCATATGTAAAAAGACGTCGTTATTGGAAGCATTTGCCTATGCTCACTATTTAAATAATTTTTTTCGAACACATTATAGAGGGACACCTTAAGATTGTTAAATTTTAGCCTACATATTTTTTAATTAAAACTTTTATACTTTGTATGGAACGTTAAGTTTAACATCTCGTAAAAGTTTCCATGACATTTTAGAGAATATTCGGCATTAATCATTAGAATGAAACGTTGAGAATATTACTTGAATAACTCACGTTTTTGTTCAACACTGGAGGGCTGATTTCATCTTTGGGATTCATTTCTGGGTTGCTTGGCTTTTTATTCTCTTTTCCTTTGCGATTGGCTTCATCTTCCTTTGCCATATCCACAGAAACCCTGAAGCAAAACAAAATTCTCTAGATTACGAATTTGCAACTTCAGAATTTATGTATTTAGGATGCAGTCCGGCTCGCCTGACGAGCGAAACTCGTCTTATGACACGAAGGAACTGCGCCCATTGAAATTACAACACACACACAATTGAATTATACAACACACACACACACACACACGCACAAAAAAAAAAAAAAAAAAAAAAAGAAAGAGAGAGAGAGAGAGAGAAGAAAAAAAGAAAAAAACAAGACAAAAATATTAACAAAAAATACAATAGTAAAGCAAGCTATGAAACAAACAAATATCTTCTTATTAATTTTATAGTACAAAACTTGTGCATAGGAATTGGTAGTTGAAACTTTGGCTTATTCAGATGTATCCACTTTATCTGCAATTTCCGTATTATGTAGATCTGCATTTTTCAGGTTATCAAGAATTGTAATTAGTTCTCCTTACAATCTTTGTGGTATGACGTACTTTCGATTTTTTCTAAGTTTGATGATTTTGATACCATCATTATATTGTTTATTAATGTAGTCCCTATGGTTAGTAATGTTGTCTAGACAATCATTAAAAATGCTATTAGCCACTAGATTAAAGTCGTATTCAGAACTGTTAAGTTCTGAATTAGAGTCTGATAAATAATCCTGACAAAACATAATTGCTAAAGCCTTTATAGTATTCTTACATAAATAATATAATTAAGGAGAAAATGCTTTTACAGGGAAGATATAGGTATAATAGTAATATAAATAAATAAGATAAACATTTCTTGCGTCGACTTCAGAATTTGATGCATTGAAAAACATATTTAAATAAAAGAAAAGAAAACAGCGGCATAAAGTTAATCAATTAGTTGACTTTATGGCAGGCAAGGCGATCGTCAGCTCTTCAGTCAAGTATTAGGCTGATCAAAAAGAAAGGTATTAAAACAAAAAAAAAATTTTTACAGCTTCCTTGAACGAAATATAATCTACATCCTTTCCAAGGTAGTGGACTGGAATGCTCTCATAACGTTTTAATTAAAGTGTGCCTGTTATTTTCCGTGATTCAGCCTGAAAATATGTCTTACAGGCCTTACACAGAACGAGAGTTTGCGCCATAAATCGTGCATCGAGTGAAAACATTAGTACTTCGTAGTAAAGGATCCCAAATTTTCTAAGATTAGAGAAAGCAAGAAAAACTAGTAGTACAATGGAAAAGTTTGATAATTTTTTCAATAAAGAAGATACTGTAACTAATATAATAAGAATTTCCCATTTGAAGTCAGATGGCTGAGAAAACGTTTTATTTCGATGTTTCGAGATATTGTTGCGTTTTTTTCTGATACCAGTTGTTACGTTATTTTCTTCCTTCACGTTCGTACGGGGTTTGTAGATTTGGAGTGAATAACGACGACACTTGATGAAGTATCGAAACACACTTTATTTACCAATATTAATCAAATAGCTCCAAAATCACTTTTACAGTCGTCGAACTGTTATAAACACGCTGACACGTTCAGCGACACAGCCTTCATACTGTCAGGCAATAACGGTGGAGACATCTTCACTGCAATGCACCAGAGTACAGCTCCCGACTCTGCTTGGTCGTTCTCGGAACTCGGTGTACTCTCGAGACTCTCCACGCTACAACTCGCGATGCACTCGACGATACACAAGAGTTTAGTTCTCGACTCAGCACAGTCTAAGACAAAATTCGACGATGCACTAAAAGACTCTCTCGATGCCAGTGGCGTAGCTAGGGTAGGGCAAGGGGGACACCTGTCCCCGGGCGCAGCATCCAAGGGGCGCGAAATTGATGCTACGAAATTTTTTAATGAAATGTTTTCCATTCTTGGCACACAGAAAGGGGAGCAAATTCTTCAGTTGTCCCTTGGCGGCGGAAACTCTGATTACGCCCCTGCTCGGTGCACTCGACGACCAACTCGGCGCTAGACTTCGAGACACTCGCTCAATGACTGACTATCAGCTCGCTAGATGAGGCACACACTCACTGACTGTAGACCAGCAGGGTTTATATAGCTTTCGGCTTGTGTTCGAGAACATTCTGGACTAAACCGGTAAGAATTCGTTCCAGAAGGTTCTCCATCCGTCCATAGCATATCGCCAATTTTGTCGCCAAATGTGGCAATTCTGCCTTCCCTTGCCATTTTATGGCAACCCTAAAACTGCTTTGCGGGGAAGCGATCTTACCACGCGTGTACATTTCGTGACAATATTTAAAAGTCCCGTGAGCCTGAAGAATGCGAGAAATGACGCAAAACGTTTCTCAAAACGCACTACGCAAGTACCAACTTTAAGGGTAAAAGGTTTGCATTTTACTCTGAGATCCAAAATATTTTTGTTGATTGTAGCTTAATCAATAGCAAGAAAGGTAGACGAAGACCGAGAGCTGGCTTCCGCCAATGTGACAAAGAAATGCATCTAGTTCATATCTGACTCTAACTACCTACGAGGTAACTTAGCTATGTGAATAAAATACTTGGAAATATCCTTTTCAGCATGCTGTTGCGGAAATTTATCTTCTATTCTTATACAGCTCTGAGCTACATCCCAAAAGATTTTGCCAATGGAAAGTTTAGAAATGGCTGCTTCTTCATAACAGCACACACCAAGCCACAAATATCTTGAAGACGTAACAACTTTTAGTGGAAATGAAATTCGCAGTGGGTCATTATGCCTCTTTGCAATATGTGGCATCATATAATTTTTTCTTCCTCAGGAAGCATTTCAGGGTATAAAGCTGCCATTTTGACTATGTTATGGACAGGATATTAAGACCGAATCTCAGAGTATAGCATACAGATTTCAATAAAAAGAATATTGGGTATAATTCCAAGCGTAGCTCAAGCACTGAAACTGATGCATAAATGAAGAAGACGATGACTTTGGAACAGATGGGAGACAAGAATAACTCAGGTAAGTTTGCAAAATTTTGTTGGACTTCTCAGGTTCCTTTATTTGATCATAGTAATAAAATATGAGGTTAGAGAAATTCTATTCTTTCTGGCCTGAATTTTGAAGACACTATATTTTTGGTTACCAAACGTTAATGCTTCTCAAATACCAGACACCACGAGTAAATGAAGAACTTCCTCTAAAAGAGCATAGGGTATACTGAAAAGTATTATCCCGTCAACTATGAAACTGTCGCCAAGCAGTTCGGTTTAGCGACTTAGCGCTAAAATCAGCTTTTGTTTTTATGAATAAGGATGTAAGTTAACTATTATTCCTTCATTATATTTTTCTTCCTCTTTGGGGAAAAAAATCGAGAATTATAGAATCACGTTTGTGATTGCATTCCGGTTCATTTACAGCTGGCCGAGAGAATTAACATTTCTTGAATGGAGAGAAAAGAACAGCTGGATATGGTTGACAAAACAGTAATACACTGGAACAATCACCTGCAGCAATTTGTATTCATATAGATCTAAACGGAGCTTTCGATGAAATTAGAAAGCCTAATAAAACAGTAGAAATTGACAAAAACACTTTCCCTGCTTTCAGGGCTGTCGAGAAATACGTAAGTACCAAGCAGGGTACCCACGCTTGGTGAATTTGAGCTTCATTTTAATTTCTCTTACAAATTATAGGTCTTACAAATAAAAGCAACACTAACTGGAATTGAATTAGTAGATATGTTACAGAGAATAAAAGGATGAGGTTTCGGAATGAGTAAATAACATAAATAAACAGCGAGTTTTAAAGTTTTGAGTGACCAAACAATGTTTTGAAATTTTGAGTGAAGAAGAAATTACTCGCTGAATGTATCGGAGGACCATAAAAACAGTCGATACGATGAAGCGAAAAATTCAGCCATGCTTGGAAGTCTTTTTTTTTTTTTTTTTTTTTTTTTTTTTTTTTTTTTTTTTTTGGGTTTTGTTTATTATTGTTATTATTATTACTGTTGTGGCAAACACAAAAAAGCTGTCTACCTAAAGATAAAGTAGCCTTCGTGGAGGACTTTTAAAGACAATTGGCTGGTATTCATGTTACGTATGGAGAAAATCCCCATCATCCTTGATGCTTTTCTTCTTGATCTTTCATTAAATAAAAACTGACGTGATAGTGCTGCTGAGAGAGTTATAGGACAACTACAAAGAAAAGTAGCAAATTGTTTCAATACTGCTATTTTGTTACTACTACTACTAATAATAATAGTTAACAAAAATACATGTAAGATATTCAACAAAATTTTGCAATTTGGGTAAATTTTGATGGAATTTGTTTATTCCGTTTTTTTCATTAATATTTTTATTTCGAAATAAAATCATGTAGGAATTATTTGTTTAATTGAAAGAAGTACATTTTATATATAAATAAAAGTGTTTGTTAAAATATTAAGAGCAGCATTTGTACACTTACTGTTAGAATTTCAAATAAATAATTTTAGGACATTATTGTCGGAAGGGGGAGGGAATTGGCATACTTAAAAATTTCATTTCTATTAACCGTATTTTAGGTTATTCGACACAGTTACGGTGCCTGACTATCTCCAATAATCTACTGTAGTAATACAAATAACTAACCGTCAAAACGTATACGTATTTTTTATTGAATAATTCTATTTATAAACCAATCACATCGGAGCATTATTATCAACGATATCACATGAAATTAAGATTTCAGTTTATGTGGACAGCCTTTTGCATGTATTAAAAAATATATATATATATATATATATATATAGTTTTTTTTAAGTACAATGCTCTCTTGATATACTGCTTGTGTCTTTCAAATATATATATATTTCTTTCCTCCTCTTTTTTAAATTAAGGAATAATATCTATAAATTTTTTGTGAGGAGTTTTCCATGTTAAAATAGTTGAGCAATCGGCAACATGGCGGCTGCTTGGCCTTACACCGATAACCGACTGTAAAAATCACGATAAAACATAGGAACCAAGAATTATTTGCAATACAAGGTTACGCTCTTGTGTGTCGTCACTGACTCATAGTCTGCTCAAAAGCAACTACTGCCTTTGTGTCTTTGTTTCTCTC